AGCCCACGTTGTCCACGTAGACATAGTGGAGAGGCTGCCCGCCTGAGGTAATCAGGCGCGAGCCGCCAAACGTCTGCAGGCGCCGATCGGCGGTCGCGCCCGTGGCATCCTCCACCTGCTTGGTGACCGCCTCCTGTACGAGGTAGAGTGACCACTTGAACCCCGTGGGGAGCACCGCGAAGCAGGGGTGCACCCAGCGGTCCGCCGACAGCCACTCCCCCTCAGCCTCGTGAAGGTGGAGCTCCTCCGCTCGCAGCGGCGGCAGCCCGAAGTAGCGGCTGAGCTCCACATCGATCTTGAAGCGGTAGAACGCGTCCCGCACGTCGCCTGTACTGATGAACACCTCCGAGTCGTCGTCGACCTCGATGAGCCCTAGCGACTCGGCGGTGGCCAGCTCCACTCCGGGGGGATCGCGAAAGCGGCGGTTGCTGCGGCGAGCGTCGACCACTAGCCGCTGCATCCCCGACTTTTTCTTCACACAGAACACGGTGGCGCGCTCCTTGACAGCGGCGCACCACCGCAACACGCCAATTGACTCCAGCCGACGGACAAACTTGATGTAGGCCTGTCGATCCCCCGCCAAGTTTCGGTCCATGTAGGGGGTGACCGGCTCCGAGTTGTCCTCCAGCTCCCAAAATTCGATGTCAGGCCTGACCATACGTTCTTCAAAATCTACCAGCATTGATGCAGCCTCAGCTGGCACCACATCGACCGCATAAGGGCAGTCCTTGCACGACGCGGGTACCGACAACAGCTCTTCCTGGTAGTCGCTCACAATGTGCTCATCCGAGTCGTATCCGGCTCGGGAACGCAGAAGCGCGCGTGCGGCTTCATGCGGACGCGGAACAACATCAACAGCCTGAGAGCGCTCCATCACGCCCTTAATGTGCTGGACGGCCTCGGCCTGCGCCGGCGAGCATATCCCCTCGGGGGCCGCCCCACCGCACCCGCTCAGCCAGTTCAGGGTTGAGATGGCATCGTTGGCACGACGAGTGATGGCCTGACGACGGGCGACTCGTTGACACACGCCTCGGCTGAGCCCAGGACGGCGAGGCCCTTCCTCTGTCAGCGACGGCAAAGGGAAGACCCCAGGCTGCACCTTGAAAAAGAAGGTGAAGCTCAAGTAGGCGACGAACGCGAGCCTGAGCTGAAAAACTGCGCCCGGAAGCGCTGCCCCTCTGAGGTAGAAGCGACTAGCAGCGGGGTCCCTGCCAGTCGCCGTCGCACAGCTAAGCGTCTGCCGCGCCTCCAGCCCCCTTCTTGGCGGCTGCCTTTGCCTTCGGGTGGGCGGTGGCTGCGCGCACTTCTTGGGCCTTCTGGCGCTGCTTCTCGATCTCGGCTTTCTCTTTGGTACGGGTAGCCGCGTGAGCGGTGAGGGCCGGGGCGATCCCCGCCGTCCGCTGCTGATGGCCTGACCACAGTTCCTCGTCCTCAAAGCGGCCCTCTCCAGGACCACAACTGGCCGCGTCCAGCAACAGCTGCATCCTCCTCGCCAACACCTCGAACGCGGCCAGCGACGCGAGGTTGAGCTGATCGTAGCACCCGGCGTGCTCCAACAGGCGGCACATCGCCTGGAGCTCGTGCGCGAGACGGTCCGAAGCAGCGATGCGATTCTCGGCGAGATACTTGTGGTACCACTGCATCGGGGAGCCTCCAGTCCTCTCAATGTTCTTCGCCATCCAAAGCATGGTGCGCGGGCCCTCGACGGGCCAGTCCTCATAGAAACTCTCGTGCATCTTGGCGACGGCCTCCTTCCACGAGCGGAACCTCTCGCCCTGCTCGTCGTACTGCACGGGCAGGGTCCTGGCGTCGTCAAGGTCCGGCTCAGGCGGCGCGTCCACAGGGCCAGGCAGAGGAGGCTCAGGTGCCGCAGACCCGTCGCGGGGCATAAGCGCGGCAATGTCCCTCCAGCGCCTGGCCCCGAAACCAGGCACGTCGTCCACGTGGAGGCGGTAGAGCACCACGACGCCCTCGGCGGTCCGACCCGAGGCAGGGGGCGCGGCGACGCTCACCAGCATCCGATCCCCCAGCCTGCAGGCGTCCTTCTCGCCGAGGATCGTCGCGACGGTGAACTCGGTGCCGAGCGGGAACGAGGAGTTCGGCTCGCCGACGACCCAGCGGTAGTCCTTCTCGTCCTCCACGGTGGCGGTCGCCGCGGCGGCGACAGCCTCCTCTCGTGGTGGAGGGGTCTGGGTGCCCCCCCTGTCGTCGTCCTCGTCGTCGGGCGCATCCAGCACAATCGGTGGCGCCTTGCCCCGCCCGCGGCGGGCAGGAGCACCCCCAAGCCGCCAGAAGTCCTCCAGCGCCACCACGCGCCCGTCCCACTGCTGCGTGTGAAGCGGCGCGGGCAGCGGCGCCTCGCCAGCGGCGAGGGCCTGGCGCGCCAGGTACCGAGCCTCGATCACCTTCCCGCGGAGCTCCCGGGCGCCGATCTCTCGTCGGAACCGGTACCTCGGCGAGACCACGTGTCGAGGCACCCCGCCACCAGGCGCCAGCACGATGAACTCCTCGACGTCGGGGCCTGACAGACGCTCTGGCATCTGGTCGCCATCAGGTGACTCCGTGATCCACTCCTCGAAGCTCACCGGCCACAGGCATACGCGCTCGTGCAGGAGGTCCTCGCCGGCGTCCACGTAGCGCACCAGGATCCTACTGCCCGGCATCAACCCTCTCAATGAAGCCGCCACCCCGGAGGGCAGGTCGCCTGCTCCTGCTGCCACCAGCATCTTGACGAGCCCCGCGTCGCGCGCCGGCACAGAAGCCGCCGACCGCTGCCACCACCACGTTGAACACGAGGGCCGCGGCAAGCAACACCCACGGCGGCCCCTCAGGGCAGATCAGCGCCGGGCACGCCGGGCAGACCGCCTCGGGGCACGTCAGCTCCGGGCAGGTCAGGTTGGGGCAGGCAGGCCCCGGCGGACAGGGCGGTGGGAGCGGGCAGGCCTCCGACTGAACGCCAGTCGCGGTCCAGCTGGCCACCACGCCAGCCACCGCGCCGCGGCCTATCTCCCGCGCGCCCGACTGGAGAAGGTCGCTCAGATAATCTGGGAGCACCATCCGAGGTGCGACGCCTCAAAAACTTTGAGCAAAAATGGGCCGCGGTCGCTTCCCACTCTCGCAGTTTCCACCCGCCCTCATTCCAGTCAAAGACAGTGCCATGATGATGCTGATTATGATGATGATTATGATGATACTGGTGATGATGATGGCGCGGTGATGGTGATGATGATGATGGCGCGTGTGAGAACATGGTGAGGAGACGGTTGGGATGTGTGAGGTGAGATGTGTGAGGACTGCGCGGGGTGTGCGCAGAGAAAACAAGACACCACTCTGGACGTGGGGAACAATGACGACAATTCCAGATTTCCGAGGACCCACTCGGATTGACAACATTAGCTTCGGGTCGCATAAGGACGGGGCTCCTGCCTGAGACTTCCTCGCAATTCACTCCCACACGAGTCTCCCGCTCGAGACCTCCGCCATATTCAAAGCTCAAGAACCCGAACATGACAACTACAAAATCGGCTAACCCGCTCGGGCTAATTCGCCGGCCCAACGGGCCAAGGCGTGCTAAGATCTCCGGTACCTGGTTAACAGTATTTCTAGTTCGCGCGCGCGGGGCGGCCCCTGGGGGTCCCCGGACGAAAAAGACCCCGGCAAGGTCCCGGCAAGTCCCCGGCAAGTCCCCGGCAAGGTCCCGGCAAGGTCGGGCCAGAGATGCCGGAGCCCTGTTACAGGGCCCCAGGACGGGCCAAGAGGTCCCCAAGAAGCCTCCAAGACGGTCCAAGAGGGCCCCGAGACGGCCAAAGATCGCCCGAAGACGCCCAACAGGGCCCCAAGACAGCCCAAGAGGCCTCCAAGACGCCCCAAGGGCCTTCCAAGAGGCCTCCGAAGAGGGCCCCAAGAGGCCAAAATCGTTGATTTTCATTGTTTTTTTCTATGTTTTTTGCGTTCTGGCTTTTTCGGCTTCCGGACGCTCCAAGACGGCCCAAGAGGCCCCCAAGACCGCTCCAAGACGGCCCACGAGGCTCCCAAGACGGCCCCGGAACGGCCCAGGAGGGCCCCCAAGACGGCCCAAGTGCCGCCCAAGACGGACCAAGAGGCCCCAAGACGGGCCCAAGAGGGGCTCAAGAGGGGAACCGAGAACTGAAAAATCGAGCCCTCCGCCCCAGAAGGCGCCCAGGAGGCCCCAAAAAGGCCCCAAGAGGCCCCCAAGAGGCCCCCAAGACGCCCCAAGAGGCGCCCAAGAGGCCCAAAAGAGGCCCCAAGAGGCCCCAAAACGGCCCCCAAGAGTCCCCAAAACTCGGCTAGCCCACAACGGTGCGACAATATGGGCCGGCGGAATGAGCGAAGCGATTAAATAACATGATCTGCGGGCCCCGTAGGGAGGGGCTGCCGCCTGAGACTTCCTCGCAATTCACTCCCACACGAAGCTCCCGCTCGACTTCCGCTAGATTCAGGACTGAGGAGCCCCACAATGACGACAATTGCAGTTCTGATGATCCGCTCGGAATTGTAACATGGTCTGCGGGCCCCAATAAGAAGGGGGCTGCCGCCTGAGACTTTCCCACTCACGGTGATGATGTGGGGTGTTCTTGTTGCTCCAGAGATGATGACCGATGGTCATCATGGGCTGATGCTAGTGATGATTGATGATGATGGTGCGGTAAGGATGATGATGACGGTGAGTGTGAGAACATGGTGAGGAGGAGAGGGGGTGTGAGGGTGGGTGTGCGAGGACTGTGCGGGGGGCGTGCAAAGAAAACAAAAACCCCACTTTGGATATGGGGAATAAGCCTACGCGGGGAAACTCACGTGAAGAAAAGACACCCTCGCTGCATGGAAGCACAACTGCTGGTCGCTGGTATGGCTTTTGCACTCCATCGCGCCTCTCGGGCTGGACCTGGCTGGAGCACCGAGAACAAGACAGGAGACGCCACCCGCAATGAGCATCTTCCGCCGCGCCCAGATCTGACAGGCCCCTCTGTGGGCACTGGGTCCTTGGTCCTCTCCTTCTCCCTGTCCTTGTGGGCCTCCACGTCGGGCTCGCCCCTGTCCGCGGACTTGTCCCGGCCCCTCCTCGGGTCCGCATCCCGTTTCTCCTGCGGCTCGCCAAAGCCCAGGGACGCTTACATTCAGAGAAATGCAAAGTGCGGATGCAAAGTGAGGATGCAATGTGAGGATGCAAAGTGAGGATGCAAAATGAGGATACATCCAGATGAGAATCCATCGGGAATCTTTGCGAACCACTTGGTCTGGAAGCCTTCCTCGGAGCATTGGCCGTTGCAGAGCGCTCCGCAACGCTGTAAGAGCGCCCCGGCACGCTCTGGGGCGGTTTGCTCTCATCCAGGCTTGCCTGACATCGGGGGCGTCCGAAAGTGGGGCGTCCAAGAGGGGTGTTCGCAAATCATGGCCCGAGGCACGCGCGCGGCCCTGAACGACCAAGGAACGCACTGAAACACGAAGAGGGTGCCACGAGATCCTGGGACATACCATGGCCCTGGCTATGACAGACACCGCCCTAGTCATTATCGCCCTCTTGGCCGCCCCCGAGAAACGATCGCACTGGCGCCACCGCGCGAACAGTTCACCCCCTTGAAATATGCATGCGGCTTCACAGCTTTCCAGCTGCACCTTGCTCGCGTAATTATTAGCTGCTCTGGAGTGTGCAGACGGTCCAGGGAATGCCTTGTAGAGGTGTAAGAGGGGATCTGTTGACCAGGATCAATCCAAACCAGGGTCAATCAGGCCTTTCCCTGCAACATCCTTCAAAATCCTGCGCCAAAACCATGTCAATACGCCCCTGGCCCGGCAGGATCCTGCACCATCCGTCGCTCTGGCTGACCCCCCTTTGCACTGCGCCCCGTCTGAGCCCCGATGGACCCTGAGCTAGAGGAATACGGGTGCAAGGCAGAACTGATTGGCCGATCCGATGAGGACGGACTGCCTTGAACGATCTCCGCTCTCTCGGAGGTCGCCACCAGAAAGCAGTCGGCCCAAAACTCCGTGCGGACGTCGCACCGCGGGCTGTCTTCCAACAGATGTACAAAACATCGCTACAGTTAACCCGTATAGTAAGAATGTACGAGAAAGACGCAAAGGGCCTGGGACGCCCATTTTGAAGCTCTTCGAGCGTGGCGCGGCCAACGCGAGTGGCCAAGGATGGACCGAGGAGGCAAGGATGCAATGGGAAGGTTACCCATCCTTACTATGCGGGTCGACTGTGCCCTCTCCTCTTCATCTCGGGGCGGACGAAAATAGGGGGACACCAAAAACGGGCAAGCGAGTCAGCTCAACCCGTGCCTCCCGGGACCAGGAGCGGCCATGTAGTCCCACCAGCCCTCTGGGCGTCGGTGGTTTAGAGCGTTTCCTCTTCCACCCCTCCTTGTTCCCCTTCGGGGAGGGGTTTACCCCTCCCCCTACCCCCTCCCCACTGACCTGGACAGGGGGGGCCGCGGGTAGTTAGAGCGTCCAAGATGGCCCAACACGGCTCCAAGAGGGCCTCAGGGAGCTCAAGATGACCTCCCAGATGGCTCAAGATAGCGCAAGATGCCTCAAGATGGTCCCCATGATGTTCCAAGACGCTCCAAGAGCTTCCCAAAACGGTTCCAAGTACTCACAAGAGCATCACCATGATGCCTCCAAGAGGCCAAAATGCTTCAAAACCCTAGGGTAAATCAATGTTTTTGGTGTTCTCACCTTTTCGCTTGCGATGCACATCCGAGGCGTCAAAATGGCTCTAAGATGGCTCAAGATAGCTCCAAAATGGGCCCAATAAAGCCCCAAGACGGCGCCAAGAGCGGCAGCGAACGCTCCAAGAACACCCCAAGAGGGGTCCAGGAGGCGATTTTCAAGGCTCTACAAGGGCGACGCTGAAAAATGCTTCCGCTTTCTTTGCCAGATCCCCTCCAACATGGCTCTACCAGCGCCTATGAGGCCTCCAAGAGCGCCCCAAACGACGCCCAAGAGGCCCCCAAGAGGCTCACAAGGTCGTCAAATATGGGCCAAGACGGCTCCCTGAGAGCCTCGGGAAGCCCAAGACACCTTCCAAGATGGCTGACGATTGCGCGACCTGCCTCAAGATGGCTCCGACGATGTTTCAAGACGTTCCAAGACTGCTCCAAAACGATTCCAACAGGCTGGCTCCAGATATCGCAACCTGCCTCAAGATGATTCCGAAGATGTTCCAAGACGCTCCAAGACCGTCCCAGGACGATTCCAAGTGGCCATATGAACTCTCCAAGATCCCCTTCCCCCTCGCCTATCTATTATTCCTCCTCCGTCATCCCCCTCCCCCTCGTTCTCCTTTTCCCACATCTTTACAATATTTCCCATAATTCTCTTCTTCTGTTCCTTATCCACCCTCCCGTCCCCTTTCTCTTCCTCTTCCTTTTCCTTTCAATTCGTCTTCCTCCCCAGTATCCTCCTGCTGCTCGTTCTCCTCGTTCTCGCCGTTGTCGTCCTACTCGTCTTCGCCCTGCGTCATGCGATAATCCCACCAGCCCTCTGGGCGTCGGTGGTTTAGGGCGTTTCCTCTTCCACCCCTCCGTCTTCCCCTTCGGGGAGGGGTTTACCCCTCCCCCTACCCCCTCCCCGCTGACCTGGACAGGAGGGGCGGGGAGCGGTCAGAGCGTCCAAAACGGCCTCGGCGAGGAAGCCAAAATCATTGATTTTACTATGGTTTTGGCTCCATTTTGGCCTTCTGAGGGGGCAGCGCTAATTAGAGCTCCCCTCTTCTTTGATCGATTTCCTCCACGGTGGCCGCAAGAGGCCCCCAGGATGCCCCAAGAGGCCGCAGGATGGCCCCAAGATGGCCCCAAGAGGCCCCCGAAGAGGCCCCCAGGAGGCCCCCAAGAGACCCCCAAGAGGCCCCAAGAGACCCCCCAGAGGCACCCAAGGGGCAAAGATGGCCCCAAGAAGCGCCCAGGAGGCCCCCAAAGGCCCCAAGATGGCCCCAAGAGGCCCCAAGAGGCCCCCAGGAGGCCCCAAAGAGGATCCCGACCGGCCCACAGAGGCCCCCCCGAGGCACCCAAGACGCCGAAAAGCCCCTCAGGACGACCCTCTACTCGCCTGGGCGTCGTTTCTGGACGGGCTGGTGGGGATACGCGAAGCGTCTAGAATTTATCTCTTCGCTTCTTTGGAAGGAGGACGGCGCCAAAACCGGCCATGTATCGATCAAATGCCTCCCTGTTTTCCCAGCTAACCCCCTTTTTGGAAGAGGAATAACAATGAATTGCAGAAGCAAAAGGTGCCCGCAGGATCCCCAGGGAGCCCCCCCTCCCCTGCGGCCTCCAGAGAGCAGCCCCTCCCAAGGCCCAAGGGGGCTCCAGAGTGGTGCGAGGAGGAGGAGGAAGAGGAAGAGGAGGAGTAGCTGCAAACACCTGCCGAAAAACAGTAACGGCATAGGCAGAACCTTTCGGAGGTCCGCGCGGATCTCTTGGATCGGCGCTGTACCCCCCCCCCCCTCTGGCGCGCGGGGGGCGCCGTCGGGGCGGCGCTGGAGGCGCCCCGCGGGGAGGTCCAGCGCCGATCCAAGAACTATGTTTGTGCCGATTCTTTGGTGGCAACTCATGGGGGCCTCCCGTACCACCTTTTCGGCTCTCGCGAATCGACGCTAGTCGACGCTAAATCGACGCCAATCGACGCTACATCGACGCTAACCGACGCTAAGTCGGCGCTAACTCATCGACTCCCAGACGCGAATCGACGCTAGAGACGTAGTAAAGAGGGTCTACCAAGCTCCTATGATTTGCGACTGAACGATTCTTCTTCTTTTTCTTCTTCTTCTTCGATGTCTGTGAATCCCCCCCTCCCTGGAAGAGTACTGTAGCTGTTTCTGCAAGCTGTGCGGACGAATCGTCAGAAAAGCTTCCCTGGGAGAGATCTTTCATCCATGGTCCGTTTCTGACAGTCCCCGGGCCCCAACACAGCCCTCGGAGGTCCAAAACAACGAACCACCAAGGGCTACGAAAACAAACAAATCGACGATTCAAGTTGCATTACCCGTCGGTCGGAAGAAGTAGATGGAAACATGCAGTGGTAAAGCGTTGAAAGCAGATCGGGCTTCCGCCCGCTTCCTGAAGAGGAGGGAAGAGGCACAGCCCCTCGATCTTTACCCTTGGGATTTGGGCATCCCGGAACACATGCCTTCATCGACTGACGTGTTCTTCTCCAGGGCAGTGCAGGGCCAGATGCGGGCCCCCAGAGAGGGCCTTCTGACCTGCAGCGCCCGCGCCGACGTCGCCGCAGCGCCTGGGGAGAGTGCGTAAGCATGCGGTCTCCTTGACGAGGCACTGCATCCTTGCTGCTGGTCTTGACCATACAGTCTACCCGCAGAAGGAGGACGCGCGATACGGATGCAGGGGCCTTGAAGGCCATGTCGACACTGTGCGAGCTGGGCGCGGCGGGCGAAAGCGGCCACAGATGGGCCGAAGGGGAGGGATGCAAGGGTAACCTGGGAAAGTTGACTGTATCCCTGACGAGGCACTGCATCCTTGCTGCTGGTCTTGGCCATAGATCATCGCGTGAGTTTGGGCAGAGGAGCCTCAGGGCAAGGGGTGGGGCGACAATTGCTGTGGCAATGTGCTCGTCCCTGTCCCTCGTTTTCCCCTCTTCCTCTTCCAACTCCTCGAGATCTCCCCCCCTCCCTGCACTCTTCATCGCCACCGAGATTTTATGGAATTGCGCTTCCATCCGTGCGCGGCCGGGCCCGCGTTTTTCTCCTCGGCATGTCGCTTGAAGTGGGACTGCGCGCGAGCGCCGGCCGCTCGCCAGGTGGAAGCGCGTTCTGGTCCCAGTGTCAGGTGTTGCGCCACCACCGACTATTATGCTATGGGGGGGAGGGTAGGAATGGACGGGACCCGTTGACTCGATCGACCTGGCTACTTTACTCATCGCCCCAGGGAGGACGACGGGGGCGAACAGCTCCGAGGGGGAAGCAGCATCGCCTTGGGCGGGGCGGGTTGTCGGGCCCCTATCGGCGATCTGTGGGTGATTGGGGTTCGATGCGTTCCCCCATGAGCCCATGCCACTGATCAATCGGCCTGGCAAATTTGCTCATCAACATTCTCCTCTACTCCTCCTCCACCCTTCCCTCGGCCTAGGGCACACTCATTGCCCCCGACCCTTTATTGAGCTCGGAGCTATTTGTTTCGACGTCGTTTGTTCGTTCGCTCATCGCACCCCGGGCCCCCCAACCCCTGTCTCCTCACGATGGTCACGATGGTCCAAAGAGAATCTAAAGAGAACACCAGGATGACCCCAATACCCATCGGTCGGAAGAAGTAGGTAGAAAGATGAAGTAGGACGGCGTTGGAAATATATTGATTTTCCGCACGCCTCCTCAAGAGGAAGGAAGAGGGAAAACCACTCGACTCTTGAAGTAGGAAGGCGCTGAAAGTAGATTGGAATCTGGGAATCCAAAAATACCTACTTTCAACGACCGATGGGTAATCTCCCCTCCTCACCCAGCTTCTCCTGTCCCTCGCCCTCCCTCGTGCAATAGCCAGGGCATGCTGGCCACTTGTTTTCGTCGGCGTTCGTTCGTCGCCCCTCGTGCCCCTCCCTGGTCCTGTCTGCCTTATGGTGGACCAGGATCGCCCCAAGAACCCGCCCTCTCCTCACCCTGCTTCTCCTGGTCCTCGCCCTCCCTCGCACAAGAGCTCGAGCATTCGTGCCACTTGTCTTTCGACTCTGGGCACATCATGTCGGTTGACCCGCCGGGTCCTGCGGAGCCTTTGGGCCCCCGTCCTTGTCCTCCTTCGGCTGGCCAGAGGATAGCTCCGCCCTC